ATATCTTGACATAACATGGATAACCCTAATAAAATTCTAAGGTCATCTTCTGTATCACAATTTGGTTGGAAACACTGGATTAATTTTTATATCATGTCTTTATGTCCATTTTGGGGTAGATTGAGTCAAATTTTAATGCCTTTAATTCTCTGAAATAACTAATTACCAAACTTGAATTTTTATTAAAAGTTCCTGTATTATTTTGACATAAAGATAGATTGGCGGGGAGGTGTAAAGGAAAAGGAGACAGTATTGACTCAAAAATTTAATCATGATTTATCAAAATACCGAATTTCTGAGTCAAAGTCTCATTTTTCAACTGAATAACTTAGATGGCTGTAGTCCATGTTGTCTAACTTGATGGGCCTTCTTTTGTTGAACAAAACTTTTGTTTGTAAAACAGTTTCATAAAGCTTGGATGTTAAAAGCAGACCAGCCATAAAAGTTTAAAATTAAATATATTTTCTTCAAATTCCTGATATTTTGTAAGGTCTCATTAAAAAAAAAAAATTGAAAACACAGTCATTATTTAAATACGGAATTTTCCTTGTATCATAAGAATGTGAGTTACCTCACACTGCCTTAGAAATCTGAGTCTTGACCAGAAACCATGTTTAAAACTTCTTATAATTTTTTTCTATCCTGGTGTCAGTATCTAGAAGGAAAACCAAACATTTCACAGGTGAAATGTTAAAAGATTATTATAATCAGACTTTATTCCTTTTCAAGTAAATGAAAAAACTTATAATGCATATCAGGTTTTGGCAAGGGCTTCTTTTTTCTTCTTTCAATATTTAAGGTAATCCTGTAACCCTCAGTGTTCCTCACTTAGAGTCACTTAAAAGCTACTGAAAAAGCCTAGGAGTATATTTTTTTTTCCAGGTAAAATACAGAATTTTTTCATTGCCTGGGTTTTTGTAGAAATGTGTCATCCAGTTGAGTGCAAAAGATAGGAATGGGTACTTATGAGTATTTAGCTTGCCAGTGATGCAGGTGAACTCGAGCAGTAATTAACAGTTTTGCACCAGTAGTGCTCGCTAGCAGGCTTTTATTGAGCAAAGACTCATTCTCTTTCACTTTGTGGGCACATGGTTGAACACATAAGCTCTTGAGCCAGATTTCCTAGATTGAAAGCCTGATTGGATCTGCCTCTTATAAGCTGTGCGATCCTAGGCTGTTGACCTCAATGTCGTCGGTGAAATGGGGAGAATGGTAGTACCTCCTCATAAGGTAATTGCGAGAATTTAAATGAATATTTTAAATGCCTTGCACAGGGCCTGTATAAATACTTGCTGTCATTACCACCACTACCACCACTTTATGTGTGTGGCATAGGAATTTCATTCTGGTAGCATTTGATAATGTCTTTCTGCAACATATGCTCAGTATAAATGGAAAAATGTTATTTTTACCTGAAAATTTCAATAATCATAGTGTGATTATACAAATATGTGGAAGGGGCATGAACTCACTAGTTTTAACAGGCATCTGTGAAGGGTAACTGGGTCGTGGGGATTATGGTTAAGGGAGACCTGTATTAACATCATCTTTCAGCTCTTGCCCCATTCATTTATGTAACATGAATTCCTGGGATTTAGTGCTCACTTTCGCATTTCCGTTCTCCTTTGTGCCACACACAGGGCCTGGCATGAGTAGAAACGTTGTTTTCTTATGAATGTATGAGGAAGAGTAATTTTGGTTCAGACATACGGACTAACCACCAATCACCATCTCAGATGCCCCACACATCCCAATCCTTTCCATGGGATAGAATCCGAGTTGGTGGGGCTCAGTGTAGTGGAGGTTCTGTTTGTTAGGAGAGCTTTACCAAGGTGTTAGACCAGAGTTACACTCGTCAGCTTTTAGGTAAATTAGCTGATTTACACAGATGCTGTGTTCCCCTGAGACCCTGGCATTTTATTATTTTAATGTTTTGTTGAATGGCGAAAAAGTGGAGATTAATTTGAACATTTTTCTTTTATTGCTACTTGTATGATTGAGTAGGAGATTGTTTCCCCTTTCAAGGAGGGAAATACCATACATTCCAAAGGCCTTGATCCGTATGTGTCATGGCCATATTTTCCAGAGGATAGTCATTTTCACCCATGGCTCTTTTTTTTTTTTTTTTTTTTTTGAGACAGTCTCACTCTGTTGCCTGGGGTAGAGTGCAGTGATGTCATCATAGCTCACTGCAAGCTCAAATTCCTGGGCTCAAGCAATTCTCCTGCCTCAGCCTTCCGAGTAGCTGGGACTACGGGCGTGTGCCATGATGCCCAGCTAATTTTTCTGTTTTTAGTAGAGATGGGGTCTCACTCTTGCTCAGGCTGGTCTCAAACTCCTGAGCTCAAGGGATCCTCTTGCCTCAGCCTCCCAGAGTGCTAGGATTATAGGCATGAGCCACTGCACCTGGCCCCATGGCTAATTTTTTTTTTTTTTTTTTTTTTTTTTTGAGGCAGAGTCTCACTCTTTTGCCCCGGCTAGAGTGCCGTGGCGTCAGCCTAGCTCACAGCAACCTCAAATTCCTGGGCTCAAGCAATCCTTCGGCGTCAGCCTCCCAAGTAGCTGGGACTACAGGCATGGTGTGCCATGATGCCCAGCTAATTTTTCTGTTTTTAGTAGAGATGGGGTCTCGCTCTTGCTCAGGCTGGTCTCGAACTCCTGAGCTCAAACAATCCGCCCGCCTCGGCCTCCCAGAGTGCTAGGATTATAGGCATGAGCCACTGCACCTGGCCCCATGGCTAATTTTTGAGATGCTGTTGATCACAAACTGATGATCTCCCCTCACAGTTTAGTTTTTAGCAAGGAATTTGGCTGGGAGTGGCAAATCTTGGTATGAATCCTGGTATTCTGGGAATAACTACGTGCAGTTTGTCTAAAACTCTAGAAAAATAACTGGTTAGAAAAAGAGCACTAGGGCTAGAAAACCAGAATGTCCTGTTGTAAAACCAGGTGCTATTTATGCTTTCCCTGCTTGTTCATGTTACACCATACCTTACTGTATTAAGAAAGTTAATGTTGAGTGTTCAGTGAGAAAATAGATACATGCATGTGATCTTAATTTTCTAGATTTTAATTCTGGGCTTTGTTCTGAGAGCATTACCTCCACTTTGTTCATGCACTCTATTTTTTTTTTTTTTTTTGAGACAGAATCTCACTCTGTTGCCCAGGCTAGAGTGCCGTGGCATCAGCCCAGCTCACAGCGACCTCAAACCCCTGGGCTCAAGCAATCCTTCTGCCTCAGCCTCCCGAGTAGCTGGGACAACAGGCATGTCCCACCATGCCTGGCTAATTTTTTCTATGTAGATTTTTAGTTGTCCGGCTAATTTCTTTCTATTTTTAGTAGAGATGGGGTCTTGCTCTTGCTCAGGCTGGTCTTGAACTCCTGACCTCGAGCGATCCTCCCACCTCGGCCTCCCAGAGTGCTAGGATTACAGGCATGAGCCACCGTGCCAGGCCTGCTCATGCACTCTAAAAGGGAGAATGAGTGTTTATTTTCCCTGTTGTGATTTCCCCTTTAGATCTCTGCTACTTCCCAGAATAAGCTGTTACTGCTGCACTTAAGCTTTCTCTTAAAGGATAAAATAAGTAATTTCCAATGAATCACCACCATTTCATGGGGGTATCCCTCCATTTATTGCATCACAGCAGGGGCTCCCTGGGTATTCCTAATGGATATTCTGTACTAGTGGTAAATTTCTAAAGAAAAACCTTGAGACCCTAAAAGCATTGAGGGGTAGCTCATCTTAAACATTAGACCCACAAGCAAGGCACTGTGGACTGGCATGTTAATATTTTACATGACATTTCAAGGGGTTGCAGGTGAAGAATTGCACAGGGAAATATGAGATCATTTTTTGATGCATCTTCTTGACTCTGCCTAAAATTGAAAAGGAGAATGATAGAATGATTGTTGAAACCTAACAGAACTTTTACTTATGGAGGGAGAGTTTCAAAAGATAAATTCTTTAGTGCATTCACATTCTTTTTGTTTGTGTGATTACTGTTGGGTTATAGTTAATAGTATATTTAAATTTTTCTGGGAACAAAAGGGTAAATACCTCATTAAATCTCATTTTTAAACAACTGTTTTCCTCTGTGTTAAAATTCTAGATTAGGTGTATATAAAATTTCTCCTTTTCAGTGTCAGAAAAGCCTTTTTAAAAGTTTTCATTATATGATACTTCTGATTTACTTTAGCATTTTAATAAGTAATTATTTTATTATAAGGACTGAATGTTTTCTAGCTTAATGATCCCAAAGTTAACTACACTGATGCGATAGATGAATTGTTCTTTATTTATACTTAAACTAGGGAAGTAAACAAGTATGTTTAAAAATAAGGCTTAAAACAGTAATCCTTCACTTGAAATTATGCTTAGCATTTGAAGTCTGTGTTCCGAAAGCTTACGTGAGAAAGCTTATCTTGTCATAACTATTATTTCAACCAGGTATTACCTCACACAGTAAATTTGGGTCCTTAATAGTATGCAATAGGATGGTCACTGGGATAAAAGGAGAAAGGGTTTCAGGCAGTTTTTGGTCAATCTGCTAAACAGGGTCATTGAGCTCATTAATGATGTAATACGGACAGGGATGCCAAGTTCAGCACCACTGAAGATCAAGACTACTCCAACATTAGGCGAGTGGTGGATTAGTAAAAATTTTTTGTCTAGAACATTAAATGTGAGTTAGCATTTCCCGTTTCTTTGTAAATTTGCTTGGAGGGCAGCATCTTGGTGTGGCATTTTGCTGCTTATTTGACTTGGGCCGGAGAGTGCCCTCTCCTGGCCAAAGCTGGTGTGTCTACACGGCTGTCAAGTCTGTTTTCCTTTGGTAGCAAAGCTTTGCATTCTGCGAAGCCAGGAAGTTATCCAGAATAAATTCATTACGGAAATTCAGCTGAATTTTGGTCTTATTTTTAAATTATTTTTTGGTAAAATGGATTAAAAAGAACTCAAATGACTGCTCTATTTTTGTTAACTTGGTTTTTTCTACCATAGGTCTCAACAAATGGCAGCTATTACATCAGACAGTGACGAGTCCTGCTGCTCCCTTACAGTGTCTGACAGACCACTGTGGATTCAGTCTGGGAGCATTGAAGTTAACAGTGAAACGGGCAGGTCTGTCTGTTTTAAGCCCTGCCACAAAGTGAAGAGGGCATCATGTCATCACTTGATCATTCCTGAAGTAGATTAGGCTAGACTTAAAAGAATTCATTAGTTGTTGTTCTTTTTCTTTAGTTTTCATTGACCTTGGTAGCTGGGTATGCCTCATGTAGGTGATAGTTTTAATGGGTGAAAATAACTTCCAGTTGATATTACCTGCTGTGCCAAAAAAGTAGAGCCTCTTGTGAGCTTTCATGAATTGAGAGCAGTTTTTCTTAGTGTAGTAGAAGTTTGGGTGTTACATTGCAGAATTATGTCAAATAGTAATTGAGTCTCCATGGAAAATCAAATACTGGATTTCTTTTCACTATCCCCGTCTTTCTTTGTCACTTTTATATTCATTACCTTAACTTCTTAAATAGTCATTACTTCTTACTGTATATATAAGAATTATATATGTGAACATATATATATTCTTAGTGAATTAATCTCAAACCATTGTCATTTACAAAGGCAAGTCAGAACTTCAGAGGGTGGTAAAAGATAATGCTGAAATGTAGTTGTAATCTGCTTCTTTAAGTGACTCTTTGGGTAGTGCCTAAAAGGCTTATTTTGGGCCCTTACATGGTAGGAAAGGTTTAGGGATTTTTTTGTGTGTGCGTTGCTTTTAAACTTATGATCTTTTATTACTTCCTTGAATTAAGGTTATTTAACCCGCTGGTGTTTGTGTAGCTAGTGAAGAGCTGTATAGCTGTAAATAAGCTGTAATTTACAAGTTGGATCAGAATGGCAAATTTTAGATCAGAGGTTGGGGCTCAGATTTGGACACTTATCTGTATAACGTAGCTACCCTTAAAGTGATCTCTTGAGGGAACAGTGTTTTGTGTGTGTGTGTGTGTGTGTCCCTCATAGGAATAGGAAGATCTGCAATCCTTGGCTTTCCTGCCCTTGTCTTCAACTGAACTTGAATAGGCCTCACCAAAGTTGAAGCCAAATATTGAGAGAGTCTTAAATAGAAGGAAATGGAATTGTGCATGGGATTGGCTGTTTACCTTTTTTTCTCTTTCAGTTTATAAAATGGGAACATTTTCTTCCAAAGTTCTGTGGCAGTCTAAATCTGTTAGTACTACAATCATATTAGTACAGTATCTTAGTTTTAGAAAGTAAAAACTTCTTACCTCAGTGTCAAATTTAAAAATTTTTAAATTTGTTTCTTCAGAAGCAAGGACTACATTCACCTGGCTTCTCGATGTGTACAGTATTTATGGCTAGAAGTCATTTTTCATTGCTTGAGAAGAAACATGACAGAATACCCCATGAAATTTAGTTACAGGCCTGGATCCAGTGAGCGAGTTAAGCATGGTAATACTGGGAAGTCAACATAAAATCAAGAGTTCTGTCATATCATGGGAAAGATACCTACTTTGAAATTTTGGGATGTTAAATATTGGGAAGGATTGGGTGGTTTTTCTTTTCCTTTTTGCATTCTGTGTTTGTTTTGTCTGTTGTTATTCCGCTGAAATATCATGTCTTTGGTTTAAAAATGCATTTGACCAAAACATTCATCTTTCTTTCCATGGATCACCTCTTTTGGAATTTTTTTTATTGCTACCTGGGCTCCCAGGTTTGAGAGGCATAACCATGGATTGTAGAGGGTTTCAGTGGGATTGTTACTACTTCGTGGTATCAGAGGGAGGTTGGTAATGTTGGGCATTCCGGTCATGCTACTTGGCAGTGATTTTTATAAGCCTTGCCCTTTATAAATGTTATGCTTGGAGTCCTGCTTTTTGTTGGAGGTGTGGTGAAGCGTGCGTCTGCTGATATTGAGGTTTGCTGGTGTAACAGGGACACTGTGGTCAGTCTAACCAGGGTGCATAAGTTGTCTTCTAGTATCAAAGTGGCGCTCTTGATGCCTTCTGACGTGCTGTGTCTACCTCTGGGAGGCACCCTCCACTCCCCTCTTTTTTTGCTTTTTGCAGATATATAGACAGTGTGATCTACAGCTGATTTGTACATAGCCTGGTTCTGTATATAAATTTGCTTCCTAGGACTGTAGGCCAGCCTGTGCTAGAGGAAGGCTGCTGGTACTTCATAGCAGTCCACAGCTAAGCTAACTCTCAGAGTTTAGTATTGTTACCTGTGAAATGGCAACACAGAGAACAGTTAAAATTCTCCTGTTATTAAGCAAATATTCATAAGCAAGTAGTTTTTTAAAAAAATACTCAAGTGCAGATTGACTATGTGAAGATAACAGCCATCTTACTTGTGCTGGAATCTGGCCTGATATACGTCAGAAATAACACAAATGCTTCTGCTGGTTTACAGTGGCTGTAAGTTGTTTTCTCAAAAAAACATTGGACAGGTTTAACTGATTTAAAGGAAAAAATCAGATGTGATCCCACAATCTATGTAAGGCTTAATTTAAACAACGAGGACTTCATTTTTCTCATACAATTGCTTGTGCTTAACTACATTTTCTTCCTTTTCTTTACTATATTTCAGCACAAAGACATTAGCAGGCTGCTGGTTTCATGGACCTGTACCACAATGACACAGAGAACACCAGAGCATCAGGACTGAATGAAATTGGAGATTTTTAAAGCTGCACTAAGAAGTAAATGTTAAGGCAGTGGTTAAAACCAACAGTCTATAATGGGGCACTGGCACATTGTGCTATATTAAACCGAAGAAAAGGTATTAGGGAGTATTCTATAAAAAATAAACTATTGCAATAAATTATGCATGAGATGAGGAGAAAAGTGATGTGAAATACACATACAAGAACTCACTTGAATTTTATGTCTGAAGAATCACTGACAGTAACTTCTTTTGAATGTGAAGTTCTTATCAGTACAGTTTGGACATGCCTAAAAGGTATGGGATGATGCAGAAATGTTGAATTATTTTTCATACTTAAAATTTGTGCTTTCTCCAAGGTTTATGTTAATCAGTTCAGATATGAGGAAAGGTGTTTCTAAAAAGACTCTCTTATGAAACAGCAATAGTCATGTGTGCCAAGGCCAATGGTTTTTTCAGGGTCCAGTAGAAACAACAGAAAAGAGTATCCAACATCCCGCTGAAAGGATGGCAGGTGCCCCACCCCACCCCCCAAACAAAATTTGGATCTTCTTTAATAAAGCAGGGCTGTATTATCTTGAATATATGTTTGCTTGTTAGAACATATTAAGATGTATTTATTTGCCACTAGTATTTAACATTTTGTGCACATTTTCATAACTACATTCTTTCAAATTTTGATTCAAAGTGGATAGGCTAGTGTTGATCTTGGAGTGAAAACATACACTCTAAGAGCTAGTTATTAATTCTTCTGAGCTGGAAAGGCTTTTATTATTGTCTCTATCCTTACTGATTTTATCTAGTTCAGAAAAGGTGACAATATCTAAATTTTGATGTGGACATTTCTCCACAAAGAGCCCCTCCCCTTCTGGCTAAGTGCAAGAAATCCTCACAGGTGTCAGGTAGGACTTGGTCCTGGGGGACAAGTGGCAGGAACAGATCTGTAAAGACAGCGTCAAACTTTTCATGCATGGAGCATGAATTCTTATTAATAGAGATTGTAATTTTTTTTCTTGTCTTTGGTAAATACATATGAAAAACAATTTTTCTTTTTTAATGAATGGAGAAAACATGAGAAAACCAGATGGACCTGTTAGTACTACATTTTTTAAGGCATTTTATATTTGATGGTGCCGTACTTTTAATAATAATAAAACTGAAGTTTTTTAGTGGCAATACTGATTTATTTTTTAAACTAGAAAGATAATCTGTATTGATTACTTATTACAAAAAAAAGGAAAAAAAAATGCCAAAAAATAAAAAAACCATAAAATTCATTTGAAGCAGCATAACAAATAACTGAGTACTTGGCTCAAGTATTCAAACTTTCCATAATGTTACTGTATAGGTTTGGAATTTCCTAATAACCCCATGCTCAGGATTAACAAAAGGTTCTGGGTGAGAGTTTTAGAATATTAATATTTAGTATACCTGACTGATTTATTTTACAACTCAAAAAGAAAAGGCAGGCAGTCTTTCACCTAATGAGCTTAATGCAAATTCTAATTACACTACAAGTAATTAAAAGTTTTGGTTGCATTGTGAAATTGTCTCTTTGGAAAGTTCCATATTGTAAATTCATTATATATTTTATCAAATCAGAAAAAGTCAGCTCAGGAACCGAAGCAGCAGGGAGTTCTAAAGATGACATGTACTACAAAGGGCGCCCTTACTCTACAAGGCCCTTGAGCTTTGGCTTGGGTCTGTCTTGTTCTTTCAGATACATAAACACCAGCAGTACCTTTCAGGCTCACTTCAAGAACCAGATAACGCCCAAGCCATGGTGGACTTACACATGGATTGTATAATCAAGATTTTTAATTGAGCTTTAGAATTCTTTATTTGTGTAGAGTGATGGAAATGACCAAGAACTAATAATATAAAGCAAATGAATTTGGAGAGATCGGGTTTTAAGTATCTAAATATTTTTTTTTCTCATGATAAATTCTCACAGGTATTTTGTTACAAACCAGATTTTTCATTTTTTAAAAAATGAAACTTGGTGGTATGTAAAAGCTAGACCTACCATGTTGCTATTTCACTTTCGTTGCTTTAGTTGCTTAATATTTAAGCTTTGCTTCATGCTACCTTTTGTCTGTATTTCAAATCTTCATAAGCCTATTTTGTTTTGTAGACTTGAATGATAAAAATTGTTTCTCATCTTAAGTATGCTCAGAGTTTTAAATGTCAAAGAATGTTGTGTAACATTTATCCAATAAAGTCTTTGATTTTTTTAAAATTTAGTTATTTAAAAACTGTTTACTTTTTAGGAGTTAGTATTTAAAGGTTATTATTATTTTTTAACTATTAAAATTCAAGCACTAGTACTTTAGGGAGCTTGTTTTGAGAAGCAGTGCTTCCTAAGGAGAACAACAGCCTGTAGGTTTCTAATCACTAGGAGATTTTATGGGACCTCTTTATGACCAAGGATAGAGGAAGGGTGAATTATTTAATTAGGACCCTGTTCATAAACATAACTTTTTTTCTGATGGAAACAACTTACCTTTCAGAGTTGGATGTAATTAAACATTTATTGGTGGGTTTGTTTTGTTTTGTTTTAACTTTAGGGGGCCTTGCCCTTATGGATAAATGGTTGCTTTAAAAAAAGCCCAGCATGTTCAATATGAGGTCAAGTGTTTGACCTGAGAACCAGAAACACTTGGTTATCAGGAAAAAATTAGTCTTTTAAAACCTACCAGACAATTGAGGTTTTTTAGGATTGACCCAGAAACATAGGTCAGTGTACTTTTTTTTTCCATTTCAGCAAAGCAATCCTTTAGAAGGCTGTCTGTTCTTCCAGAGTATACATGGAGTCTTTAATCTTAAACATTCTCCCGTTTCACTTTATCTAAATGAGTGTAAAAAAGGAGGCCACAGGAATCTGGCTCTGTTAATATCTTTTTTCTCTCAAGTTTCTCATTAATGAAAATGGAACTAGAGAGAACAAGGAAAGGTTAACAATCCCCGTGCTCATTATCTGGGAAGGCCTACTTGAGACCCTTACCGTTCTTGGTCATGTTGTATACATAGATCGGTATATTTATAGACACAACTTCTACAAAACACAGAGAATGAGTGACGAAACACAGAGATGCAACTTAAATCTTACTGATGCTGAACTTCAGATAGGGAAGCATAAGTTCATTTTTCCTTTTTCACATAAAGATTCTTTTCTCAGTGCTTCGAATGAAGCATACTTGGTTTTTGAAGCATACTTTTCTCTAGTGATGAGTGTCCTGCCAAGTCTTTTCTTATTCAGAATGAAATGTCATGGGACAAAGGAACAACTCCTCCTTTGCTTTGGTGTCAAGAAGGTGATGAACCTGGGACGAGGGAGAATAGATTCAGGAATACTGTGCCAGAGGAAGGAAGAGCTGACGGTGGCGAGGTCACTGTCTTTAAGAGTTGAGTACTTCTAGGATCAGCCCTTTCATCTTTTCCTTGTGAGGCAAGTTTGTAGAAGCAGCCTTGTAATGTGAAGGAGAGAAGGTGAGTTGGTGATGTCGAAAGGAAGATGTTTTTGTACTGCCTTAGTCTTAAGAGGTAAGAGACATGGGTTCTAACCTCAGTCCTGTCGATGACTTTCCTGACAGCAGAATCACAGCACCCTCACTGGCAAAACGGGGTGTGGAAACTCAGTGTCCCAATCACCACGCTCTTAAGTTGCTACTCAGCCCAAGGCCAAAAACACGAGGGAGACACCAGGAAATTTTTTTTTTTAATTGAAGCATTCTGTAATCCATTGTTTCTGAGTTCTGTGTAAGCTCAGTGCCTAAGTTCTCTGGATCCTGAGTAGACAGCTCAAAACTTGTGTGATCTTCTAAATAAAGTAAATGATAACATCAGTGTGAAGCCCCTTGAGGTAAAAGGGAAGCTTGACTGTCACTGCACCAGAAAAGCACAGCCAGGGCCTTCAGTAAGACACGAAGCAACCTTACAAAGACAATGATGGGTGTGATCCCTCACATGTTTAAATGCAGCTCCTTTAACACCTGCAAAAAATGAGGCAGGCCGGACAAGCTTTTGCAGCACAAACTGAAACTGTAATATAATCCCTGGCCTCTGATGCTAACTCTGCTAATGTCAGAATCCAATCCAAGTATCACCCTGCCTTAGGAAACTATTAGACCTTTTCTCCTAATTTAAGTTCATGCGGCAAAGCTGCAAACAGTATACTGTTTTAGGACAAACCACCCTTGTAAAACAGTCTTACGTACTTGAGATCAAATACCATGTATAGCCTACCAAAGCCTATATGCTTCTACATTTAATTACTGTTCTCCCCACTTCATTTCCTTGCTTCCCATCCTTGGCCTCCCTAAAGACTCGTAGTTTGCTTGAAGAGTTTCAGGTTTGTGGATTTGACTTTGAGTTGGAAGCAGTGATTGGCAGCTGTGTGCCCATGTGCTTAGTTGGCATGCAGTGGCTGCCTGGTGTGAGTCCAGGTGCGATGTCTGATGTGGACATCAGTCTGGCACTGCAAACCATAGAGGGACAATGAGGTTCCAGCATCTTCAGATCCAGCTCTTCGTATTTGGAACTAAGCGTCTTCCAAAAAGCTTGTGGGTTGGTTCCCTTCCTATCATGATGATGGAGGGCTGATGAGCCTCAGTGCCCTGTAGCAGTTCGCATCTGGTAGGCTGTGTTTTTCTGCAAGCTGGGACTGACAGGAATGAAGACAAGCTGACGCTGGGTCGCTGCCACAGATTGCTAGCTGTGGTCTTCTTGGCAGCGAGGCAGCAGGCCCTGCTGTGCCCTAGCAAAGGGGGAAATGTGAGCTTGCAAAGTTTCCCCCTGAGTGAAAGGAAAAAGAAGGTAGGGAGTCATATTTCTAGTTCTGGCTGATAGAAGAACTTAACTTTTGTATGATGGAGCCTATACTTAGCTTGCAGACCTCAGAGGGTAGAACAACTAGAAGCAATTTAATTTTATGTTTTGATAATAGAGACATTGGTAAAGGTAGACCAGTGTAAGAAACCCCCCATGTACCTATTCTAGCTTCAATAGTTACCAACTTGTGGCCAGGAAGATTGAGATTTTGGATGCTATGAAATATAAAAATCAAGGACATCCTCACTAGTTTTCACAAACTAATTTTGTCATTAGTTTCTGTGATTGCCCCTTGAAGGTTTTAAGCAGTTGTTCTCATGCTCTGAGGTTATTTCATTTTATTTATTTGTTTATTTTTCAGTGGCCTCCTCCGCGATGTCTGAGTCTCCAATGCCACTCTCTAAGGTTATTTCAGCCCCTACCTCTTGGGCTGGCTGGTAGCAAGTAATCCCATTTTCATTTTCAGGAGCACTAATGGACCCCATCTAGGACATCTCTGCATACGATGGGAGGAAGTGATTGGAAATATCGCCTCCTTTCCCTGTACAGCTTTTAATTGTGCAGTTTGAAGGAACAGATTTTCCAGCCATTCCTGGTGGGATGTGCACATACTTCCCTTTTTAGAGGAAGGCCAGG